TTAAAAAGTGAGCTTTGGGTACTCAGTACTTTTGTCTTCTGGGTAAAACACTTAACTCAGGGCAGTCATTAAGTTGGGGAGAAGGAAGACTTCTAGACACCTAGATTATTGGCAGAGTGCTTGGTTAATTAGGAACAATGATGCACCTCTCCAAGGAGAAGCAGTGAGTTGGGGGGTTGGCTGGTGCTTATGTTATATTCTGGTATGAGATGTAACTTGAAGTAATGAAAAATTCAAATGCAACTTTGCGTTTATTGGTCAGGATGGATTAAGTTATGCTGCAGTAACAAGCACCACTAAAATCCCAGTGGTTTAACATAGTAGGAGTTTGTTTTTTTGCTCATGGGAAGTGTACTCATAGTCTAATACAACATCCTCCATGCCGTAGGCCTGTATTCCAGGTTGCTTCAATATTGAGGTTCCTCTATGTCAACATGTGCTCCTACTATTGCCATGACAGGGATAGGAATCTGGTTAATTGTGCTCTGGTTCTTCAGTGTTTTGCTGGAAAAGACATATAAGCTGGTCTATCCTTATAAGACAAGGAAATGGAACTTTCTATAATGGAGTAGAGGATTGGAAATATTGGTGAAAATGGTAATATCTACCAAGTCAATTTTGGGCTCAAAGAATGGGAAGTGAGGACAATAGTTGTTTCATACTGTGATCCCTTTCAACTTTTAGGATTTATTGTGAATCTCAGCAGAAGCATGAAGTTGAAGTAAATTGGGTATTCCAGCAAAGCCTTATAGAACTAAAAATGTGGAGGCAGAGGATGCCATATTAAAGCAGAAAATGCCCACCTTTCTAATATCTTGATTTCAAACACTATAGCTGGTGCATAAACCCCCTAAGAATTTAACAACTTTTGGACTTTGAAACATATTTTAAATAGAAAAGGCACCAGCTGGCCTTTTAAAAGAATATCTGTCTTTAAAGAATATCACTGTTGTATATGAGAATCCTTTAATGAGGTTACCTTGATTATTGCTAAAGAGTTGATTCCATATTTGTGTAAGACAGAAGGAAAAGGTGCTGAGTTCCTACAACCAGTTACGATAATGTACCTGGATCCTCATGGCCATCCTCAGGTGACAGTTGGATTTTTTCCACTGACCTATATTTGGGATCCTACATTTTTAGGCTTCCTAGAAGGTAAAGGTATGAGGGAATCCTGCCATCACCACTCATAACTCAAAACCACATTGCTAATTTTACCAAGATGATTGAGCAAACCTGCGGGTATTGTCATAGGAACAAGAAAGCTACCCTTTCTGTCACTTGCCTTCTCAGTCCATATTTCGCTTTACAGTACACTATAAAATTTGAAAGTTGTGATGCAGGGTTGAAGAAATTTTCACTTGAAGAATCCTATTAAACTCAGCACCATAAAAACTCATATACTTTTACTAAGACTTTAAGGTATTTATACAAGACCCCAACCAATGTCATGTGCACTGTTTTTGAGTAATGAAAAGCCTAGAATCCTTATGAAATATTTCCCTGATCCTACCCAGACATTAGCTTTTAAAATTACACAAATAGTCCAACAGCAAGACATTGAGGAATAAACATTTAAAACACCATTGCATAAAACTTCAACAGGTGAATCTAACTGTATGACAAACGATTAATAACTGCAATGAAGGAGCAAGGAAGAAAAGAATTAACCTATGTGATTTTGGTAAACAGGATTCAGTATTAACTTTATCCTTAGGCTAAGGATAAAAAGAATTACTTCACTTTAGTTCAGTTCTCATGGGGGTGAATCAGAAATTATGAAAGTACTTTATGCATATGGTAGAATTAAACAAATAGATATGTCAGTTACAAAGGCAGAGTTTCTTACTGTTCAATAATGACTAAAATGTAGCCCTCTGGTGTTGGATTGGAATCAGAATAAACTTTTGGCTTGTAATATGTGTACATCCACATACAAAAATACAGCTGCATGGAATAGTGTCATACAAATATTTTTCAGCTGTGTGTGCTTAGAAAGGCCTATAAGCCTAGTCACATCTAGCACCTGGATCTTAGCTTCTAAACATCATTTCTAAAAAAGAAACTAGGGATCCTTGGGCAAGTAATTAATTCTAGCGCTGGGGAAGAAGAAATACAAAATGAGCCTGGAGCACTTTGTAGAGCCAGAAAATAAGGAAGTGGTCTAAAAACTATAGGCCTTGTTAGAACACAAGAGCTCACCTAGATGGACAAAGCTAAAATAACTTTTAGCAACAGCACAACTAATGATATCACGATATTTTAACCTTTAGAATAAATTAATACCCATGAGTCCATGCCAATATACGTAAAAAGTTGAGTAAATAAGTGAGAGAAGAAAGTTGCAGTTAATGAACACAGAAGGAAAAAGAGAAAGTAGAAAATCGCCATGAAGCAAACATTATTGTTGTGATCACATTATAATTGCAATAAACAGGTTCCACTGTTGGGTGCAAATATTAGTAGGCCAACTCTGAGGAGAAGCAGGCTATTTCCATATTCTCAAAGTATTTTCCCCAATTTATAAAGAGGAAGATGTTGTAGTGAAGAAGGCCCCAGACACCACTTTAAGCAAAGCAGATTAATATCAATGGAGATAAGACATCCATATCACAGACACCTAGATGTCATACACCGAGAAAGACATAGTGTCATTTCATAGTCCTAAAAGATGAGGAGAGACTGAAGAACCATCACAGATAAGAGGAGATTCAGTGATTAAATGCAATGAGGAAAAGGCTCTGAGAACAGAAAATTCAATTAGTGGAATAACTATAGAAATTAGAATAAGGACTGTGATTTGATTATTACTGATTCTGATAATTGCCCTATGGTTAATAGTGTGAATATTAGTGGAGGGTGGGTAAGGAGCATATACTAAATTAGTCCAAAATAAAGTTATAAGTAAAATAAAAAAATACATAAGGTAACAAAAACAGGTAGTTCAATAAAAGTAAATTATTCTTTGGTTCTTTCTTTTGCAATTTCTACAGCGGAGCGACTTTCAAACAGCTGGCTGGATGTTCGCCATATTGAAAAATATGTAGACCAAGGTAAAAGTGGAACAAGAGAATTACTGTGGACCTGGGCACAGAAAAACAAGACCATTGGTGATCTTTTACAGATTCTCCAGGAGATGGGGCATCATCGAGCTATCCATTTAATTACAAACCATGGTAAACACATTATTATTATCTTAGTATAATAAGGCTCTCAATCCATCCTACAGGAATTGTAATTCATGAATGGAAATCCTGAATTTTAACCAAAACATTGACTCATCTTGTTATATGTCAGTGACTCCTGACCTGTTGCTTCTGTCTGCAGAGGATCTTGTGGTTTCATGGGGTTTTTTTTTTTTTGTGTGTATGTGTGATACTTTCTTCCCTTATTTTCTAACTTATACAACATACTCCTTCCCACTGCTTTATAGTTTTGGTTTTTATCTTTGCTAATAACTACAAGTTTGTAAATGTTACATTTTATCATTTTTCTGTCCCAAAACTCAGAAGCTCTTTGAATCAGAATCACAATATTTAAGTAGAATATACATAAGGCTATTCTTCATTCTATTACATGATTAGAAGATAGTAATACAATTGTTTCTTTCCGTAGTGCAGATAACACCTCTATAATAATCTTGGAATTTTTCTGCATCTTCACTACTATTTTTATGCTACAGTCTTAACTCTGCTTTACTTGTCTGTCATTCATTCCATAATTCTTTGTTTAGCTTGTCTGTGTTTGATGCTGCATCATTCTTACATTCAGAAACAACTAACAAATGGTGCCTATGAAGTTTTCTCTATTTATTCTTTCTCTATTTGTTCTGTTTCTTCCACTTGGATTTACTCACTTCAACAATAATGATCTTGGGCCTTTGTGTTGCAGACTCAGGACTCTTATGTTGGTAACTTTTGTAATTACATCTTTATTCTTTGGCTCATTACATCTATTTTCAGCTTTGTATATTTGCACACATGTTCTTTGGTAATTTATGTAGTGTGCATGAGACTCTCATAATGAGATCTACACACACGAAGAAGAAATCCTGTGAGATTTGTACTAACAAACATAGCTTCAGAATGATTTTCATTTGGAAGATTTTCATGCTAATGAAAAGCTTTTAGTTCCTAATAGCTTCCACCATGATACTATCTGTATAACTTGGCTAATCCCCTTCACTATTGTATACTATTTCTTCGCTTGCTTTAGTACTGCAAAACACTTCATGCTGAAGCTGAGCAAGTGAGATGCAGTGAGTTCCTAAGAACTGTAAATGCTATGCCTTTTCATTATCTGAGCCTTTTCCAACTTCTGAAACCACCCACATGGTTTGGTGTCCTCAGTCTAAACCTACCCCAATTTAATAGGACACTTGGGCGTGTTTTATGTTTCAGTGTTCTGGAATAGATTTCAGGGTATGTTTTCACTATGTTGTTTATTTATGCAGTAGAGAATGATTTGGATTTTAAGTAGACAAAAAATCCACATTCTTGGTTGACTCCTAATCTGTTGCACATGCTAAGTTGATTTTGTTTTTTAAAATTTGAGAGTAGGTTAATCGAAAGACAGTTATTTACTGCTTTAGCACAGTGAGATAGGTAAATCTGAAACGAAGAGGATAGAATATTTCCTTACTCTGTGTCATTTGCTAAAGAAATTAAGCATTATTTAATTGTAATTTATCAAGTTGATGGCTTGAATTAAATCATAATCTTGAAAAAGTTAATTGTATACGTTGTTTAGAGTAAAATGCTATGATTCATTAAGAACATGTGTACCTGCTGAGCAGGTATGTCCTGTGGTGGACACTCAATGAATTAGGAGTTAAATTTTCCAATTGAAAATGCAAAAATGATGAAGTCTTTCTATACTGCTACCATGGACAGATTTATCAGCTATTCAGTTTTTTTGCTGATCTTTTCTTAATTTTTATTATTTTTGGTGAATGTTTTTAATTTTAGGGCAATGTTGACCTTTCTTGTTACAACCTTCAGGTATGAGTTTATAGATTTGGATTATATTCTGAGTCTTGTATTTCCTCCCAGGAACTATTCTGCAATTCAGGTTTCTAACACTAGTGGTTTCTTTGTATCCAGATTTTAGAACATAACCAAAATGTTCAAGAAACTAAAACTTCTGCTTACCACCATTGTATTTCTGGTATGCATGTCCTTACACCAAACAGTTTTCATTTATAGTCCAATGAGCAGCAGTCTTCCAATTTTTATAAGAAATCTACAGCTTTCTACAAGAGTCATTTTGAATCTTCCATTTTATGAAATATTACCTCTCTTTTCATTAACAACAAAAGGACAATGACTTGTAGTGCCTTTACAGCAGCCGAACTTCAAATCTTGTTCTATACAACAACACCTAGTTCATGATGTTTGTTATTTCTCTTGTCTAGTTGCCCTGGCTAGAAACTTTAGCATAATATTGAATAGAAAACCAGACACCCCGCTGGGCACTGGTGGCTCATGGGCCTGGAATCCTAGCTACTCAGGAGGCAGAGATCAGGAGGATCGCAGTTTGAAGTCAGCCCTGGCAAATAGTTCATGAGACCCTATCTTGAAAAACTCTTCACAAAAGTAGGGCTGGTGGAGTGGCTCAAAACTAAATCCCTGAGCTCAAGCCCTAGTACCACCAAAAAACAAAAACAAAAACAAAAAACCCAGATGTCCCTATCTTGTTCCCGATCTTAAGGGGAAAGGATTTAGTCTTTTACCATTAAGTCTGATGTTAAATGTGGGTTTTTTTGCAGCTGTCCTACATCAAATTGAGGAAGTTCACTTCTTTTTCTGGGTTTTACTTGTTTGTTTGTATATTTATTTTATCATGATGAGGTATTGGATTTTGCCAAATGCTTTTTCCTAATCTGTTGAGATGAATATGTGTTTTTTGCCCTTCATTCTCTTAATGGGATATATTACATTAATTGATTTTCAAATATTAAACAAATATTGGATTCTTGGGATAAATCCTACTCTGTTACAGTATACATTCTTTTTTATGTTTTGGTGACACTGGGGTTTGAACTCAGGGCCTTGCGCTTGCTAGACAGGTGCTTTTTGAAATATAATCTTCCTTACATGTTTCTAGATTTAGTTTGTCAGTATTTTGTTGAGGATTTTTGCATCAGTATTCATAAAGGATATTGGTCTACTTTTCTTGTGGTGTCTTTACCTGGCCTTGGTATCAAAATAAGACTGGCCTCGTTGTATGATCTGGAAGTTGTTCTGTTTTCTTCTGTGTTTGAAGAATTTGTGTTAAACCTGGAATGTTTGGTAGAATTAACTAGTGAAGTCATCTGAGTGTAGGTTTTCTTTGTGGGAAGTTTTAAAATACTAATTATTTATAGGTCCATTCAGATTGTTTATTTCTTACTGAGTTAGTTTTGGTGGATTTTTTCTTTCTAGGAATCTGACCAGATTATCTAAATTATATAATTTTTTTGGCATACACTCTTTCATTGCATTCCCATATAACACTTGTTATTCAGTAAGTTCAGGGTGTTGTCTCCTATTTTGTTTTTGGTGTTAGTGATTTGAGTTTTCTTTCTTTCTTGGTCAAGCTAGCTAAAGAATTGTCATTTTTGTTGATGCTTCAAAGAACCAACACTGATTTTTCTCTTTTGTTTTTTATTCTTTAGTTTATTCCACACTGATCTTGATTATTTCCTTCCTTCTACTTGCTTCAGTTGGCTTTTCTTTTTCTAGTTCCTTTAGCTGATAATTACTACATTTTTCTTTTCAGTCTCCTATTTTGTACTTGAATATTATAATGATGTCTAATCATAAACTAACTTCATGTTTTAAGCCAACAAAAGTATATTTGTATAATATTTGATTCTTAGGAAGCTATTTTACATGTGTAAATTTGTAATCATTCCATTTGAATGAAACTAAACTTTAGAAATCAACATCACTAGTGAGATATTTATTTTTACAGTCTCAGAAAGAAAAACAAACCATAATAGGGACATAATCATTTTTTATTGCATTCCTTTTATTATTGTAATTATTATTATTTGTGGCGTGGGATTGCACCCAGCATTTGGGCATGCTAAGCAAGCACTCTACCACTAAACTGCATCCTAATCCCTTAGGTCCCTTTATTTTTCTTTCAGGAGCAGACTTGACTCCTTCACAGACCAGACGACAGGAGCACAGATTTCCAAACACATCACCCAAGGTACAGTATATATGCACAGATAATTTTGTAAGGAATGAAATTCTATGACAGAAAAATACTGAATAGGCAGGCACTTTTCCAAAACCAGAAATACTATAGTTCTCTCATTATTCTTTATTTAGTTGAAGATTTAGGAAATTAAGAGATTTGTAATTTGAAGAGCAAGAACTTTCTTCCTATGTGATCTATCAGAGCTAAGATTTAGAACTACTACAGTTGCTGTGAATTATGCATTTGTTCAAACTTAGCTTTTAATTTTCCTTTGCTAGTTGATGTTTTACATGTTGTTGTTAGTTTTTAAATTAGCCTATATTAACTGTGCAAAATAATGGGTTTCATTGTGACAGTTTCATGCATAGCTTATCTCTCTTTCCCCCTACTTTTGGTCCCCATCCTATAGCAAATTAACAGTGATCATATTTATAGCCTTAGAATTCATTTAAATGAATTGACTATAACTGACTGTGACTATAATTGACTATAATTTTAATTTTTAGAGTTGACAAGGAAGCCTTCACTTCATAAGGAAATGAATGCTACTGAATGATGTGAAGTAACTGCTTTCCACTCACTTTCTTCTAAATTAGATTCTATTCTTTTGCACTGTATAGTCTCAGTGGAAGCTATGGATTTCTGTCATGGCTCTGTTCTTTCTAGACTTACGAAATGGAATTACTTTAGTATGCATTTGTTCTTACAGGAAACAACCAATATCACAGTGGATAATGTCCTTATTCCTGAACATAATGAAAAAGGTAAAAAAAAAACAAAACTCAACTTTTCATTAAGTCATGCTTTCATGTACATGAATTTAGAGGGGAACTATCCCTGCCTTAACTATGTACAGTTAGTTCAGTATAAAACTTTCATAGATATGGAAGTCACTTCAGTTTTTGTTAACACTTATAGCTGTGATGGATAACATAGTGTTAAGAATCCATTGGCTAATAAAGAACATAACTGCGGTCTCTTCACAAAGAGAGACTTTCCTTTGTTAGTAAAATTTGTCATTCTTAACATGTCCTAAGAAAACATTTAAAAACTTATATTGGATTTTACATAGCTTTAGAAATTTTTAAAGCAATTGCAAAGATCTTTTGACATGATAATAGAGTAATGCTGAAGGGCAATATGAAAATCTAATTTTCCATATTAACTTTAAGTTCCTACTTTATAAGTAGGGAAAATAATTTGGTCCCACTGGGAGTCATGCTGATAAAATTTAAAGACTGTTTAAGGCTGTCTTGCCTAATCTTTGTTGCTAGATCTGATGCTTCTCTAGTTGAAAAGAGAATTAGAAAAATTAGATAAGGTTTTGTTCTTCAGCAATACGGTCTAAATCAAACTGGAAATGTGTTTAGAAAGTATTTTGTATTAGCTGTGGAAACATAGCCAAAATTGGGCTCTGAAAGATTTAGCCAAGCTTTTCTTTTCTTTTTCTTTTTCTCATTTGTATTTCATTACCTTTGAATTCTTTCTCCCAATCTTCACTTTGTATAATTTTTTTTTTTTTGAAAAGCTGAAGCATCTTCCTAATTTACTCTGAGGAAGTAAGTTAGTCAGTTGGAGGCTTTGGCTTATGAGAAGTATTTCTGTAAGTCAAGCTTGGAGAATGTTGTTTAGTCATATCAAGAGTTCTACTTCCAGCGGGTTTTGGTTTTTTTTGTTTTTGTGGGTTTTTTAGTGGTTTTAAGTTCATAGTGGATCAACAGCAATATACTGACCTAATGACAAGGAAATAGAATCTTAGAATTATTTCCTCAACTTAACTCTTTAGCTGATCTCTTTGGAGAAGTGATAAAATTACAATACTAATATTCAAATATCTAAAAAGCCATCTGCTGTGAGGAACGATGAGAACCTGACACAAATAAATGGGCAGGGAGCACATGGCGATCTTTGTATTAGGTTCCTGGGCCTTTATCTACAGACCTTCCAGTGGGCTCTGTTGTATTTCCAATATGGAAGTCCTAAGTTATAATGGTGATACTTATTCTTAAAAATAGAAAAGGTAGCTTATCTTCTCCCTATTTTCCTTCCTAAGGAACATTGCTTAAATCCTCCATCAGCTTCCAAAACATCATAGAAGGAACCAAAAATTTCCATAAAGACTTTCTAATTGGAGAAGGGGAGTTTTTTGAGGTTTACGGAGTGGAGATACAAAACAGAACATATGCCGTTAAGTTATTTAAACAGGTATGGAAAGAATTGCTATCACAGGATATTGATTACATTTATTTGCTCATATTTCGTGATAAAATGTGTCATTTTTCATCAACATTGAAAGGAGGTATATTTGAAAATAAAATTTCGTAAATGGGAATAAGATATATGACCTCAGGTGACTGGAGAAATCACTGAGAAATGAATGCCTGTCTTGCAGGAATGTGGAAGCTAAATCCTTTCCATCCCCAGATGTATTGCATGAGAAAGATTTTTTTTAATGCTTATAGGGCCTTTGAGACTTTGCTTAAGAAGATCAAGTTGTGTTCTATTCAGGATAGGCAATGTCCTCTCCAGGCAGCTTCATGGCTATGCCAAAGATGGGCATTCATTGCTACTTTATAAATTGTCTTCTATCACAGTTCAGGAGAGTGTGAAAGAGGAGGCTTCAAATAGGGGTATGTTAGTTTTTCATCATTGTGACAAATACCTGAAAAATTCAGCTTAACGGAGGAAAGCTTTATTTTAGCTCACAGTTTCAGAGGTTTCAGTCCATTGCCAGCTGGATCCATTGTTTTCGGGCCTGTGGTGAGGAAGAACATCATAGTAGAGGGCATGATGGAACAGAACTGCCAGCCAACAGAAAGAGACAGGCAGGAGCCTGTGACAGGGTACAACTTTCCAAGGCATGCCCCCAATGACCTAATTACTCCAGGTGGACCACACATTCTACTTTCCACCACCTCCCAACAACGCTATCATATTGTGAATCCACCAAGGGATTAATACATCGATGAAGTCAGAGCCTTACAGATCCTGTGACTTCCCAGATGCCCCAGCTCTGAACACTGCAGCATTGGGAGCCAAACTTTCAGCTCATGAGTGTTTTCAGTGGACACTTCAGATTCTAACCATAACAAGGAGCTACATGTGGCTCAAGCAGTATAATGCTAGCCAGCAATGACAGCCCCTAGTTCAAGCCCCAGTACCACCAAAAAACAAAGTAGCTATAGCCATTGATCATACTTGGTTAGAAGACAGTTGAGGGACTACAGCCTGTTTGATTTGAATAAATCAAATTCAAGAGTCAGACAGATCAAAGAGATGTTCTTTAGTCAACAATCAGGAAATACTTATTAACTCCTTTTATGTACTTGATATGTGCACATGTAGAAATAAACACTTTTGCCCTCAAGGAACTCACTGTCTTTCAGGGGATATAGCCAGGCCAATAAAAGATTAAATTTCTATGACAGGAGTACTTTATCAGAGCTTTGTACATAAGGGTTCAGGAGCACATAAAAGATAGCATCTCTTCCCCCACCCAGAAGGGGGCAGCGCTTGTCACTCAGAAGAGTTTTGGCACAGAGTAAGCATTCAATAAACATTTCTGGAAAACAAATGGAAGTTGGATGAAAAGAAGTGACTTTCCAGCTGGATTTTGAAGGGTGAGTAGAATTTTGGCAGGAAGGGAATGAGGGAAAGCCCGCATTCTGATTGGAAACAAATAGCCAGTACAAAGGCCTGGCATTGCACGTTTGAAAGTACAGGCTTTACTCATGAGTAAGAATGCATTTGGCAGAGTAGAAAGTGGTGTGTGGGGGATGGGAAGGTAGTGACAAAAGATGATACTGAAAAGACAGGATAAGTCAGTGGATGATTAAGTAGGTCAGTGAAAGGCTTAGATTTGTGTTTTTAAATAAATAAATAAATATATATATATATATATATATATATATTTTTTTTTTTTTGTGGTACTGGGGCTTGAACTCAGAGCCTTCACCTTGAGCCACTATTTTTGTGAAGGGTTTTTCAAGATAGGGTCTCGTGAACTGTTTGCCCACACTGGCTTCAAAACGTGATCCTCGTGATCTCTGCCTCCTGAGTAGCTAGGACTACAGGTTGTGAGTCACTGGCGCCCAGCTTAAATATAATCTTGATTATAAATTAGATATGGACTCAAAGTTGGCGGGGGGTTGGGGAAAGATGAGAGCTCCAATAGAGAAAGAAACACCTGGTAGAGGGACATTTCAGATGTATAAACTAAGAAAAGGACCAGACTTAAAACCATTGTTCTCAACTCAGCTGCATACTACAGTCACCCACAGAATTTTTTAAAAAATAAGTTCCATAGCAACTGGTTAAGCCAGAACAGTGGTAGCGGCAGGCAACACTATTTTTTGAAAGGTCCCCAAATGATTCAAATGTGTAGCTAGTGTTAGGGAACCACTGTTGTAAGCCAGAGCAAGGTCAGTTAGGAAGGTGAGGAGTAGGTATGTCTAAGAGATAAGGTGAAATGGACCAAACCTAGTGACTGTCAGATAGGACTGGGAAGTGGGGAAGAAAGTAATATCTAAAATGATTCCTACTTTGCAGATCACTTTGCCCAGTCTTTTAAAAAAAGCATTTATCTGATTTCTTCATTTCTACAATTGCATTTTTTAACCACTAATTCCATACAGACACCTCAAGATTCCTGAGAAAATGAATAGTCTAACAAAATCTACTGATGAAACCATTGAATGAACAGAATGTCATTGCTCTAGAGGTGGCCTGACTGATGACATGTATTTCTTATTGCCAGTGTGTTCCTGGCCCCATTTGCATGCTGTCTTATGGTCCAGTACCAAGGCCACCTCCATAAAGAGTCTCTGCAGTCTTCTCTCTGCAGCTGCCACCAAATCACATACCCTTTGAGGAGTTTTCATTAGTCTGACTTTAAAATGGATTATCATTACCTCTACATCGCCTTCCCTTTCTGTGACCCAAATAAGTTTTCCTTGATCCCTTCTTACCCCTCCTGTATGGGTTTGGTGAGCCTTCTCCAGCATTGTTTTATTATTTCATTGTATTGATTTCTTCATCTGTTCTGTCACTGAACTACCTGACTTTCTCTGAAGAGCTTTTATTTGCCTCTGCATCCTAGTGCCTTATTACAGGGACTGCTCATAATAGTTGCTCAGTAAATGTTTGGATGAATTGAACTTAGCACACATACCCTTTTGAAGAATTTAGTTGCTAGTTACCAGGAGTAAAAAACTTTAATTGGCTGTGCAATTCCAATCCCTGGTCCGACCCTACATTTGTAGCTCCCTTTAAGGTGGTGAATGGAAGTATGGTTGTAGTTTTGTCTTCTATTTTTTTTTTTTTTATCTCTACAGACTTCTCCAACCAATGCACTGTCAGCAAGTCAGCAGCCAGCCATGCAAACACACTCACACGCACGCCCATACACGTACACAAGTACACACAGACACACACACACACACTTAGGAAAAATGAGATCCCTTAATGTCTTTGCCAAGAACATTTTTTTTTAAAGGAATGAAATTTTGTAACATTGGGACATCATCTTCAATTACCTTTCTTTGAGGGCTGTAAGTGGAGAATTGTACTAGATATACCAGATCTGTGCTTCTGAAACTGTAATAGCATCCATTCACCTGGAATCATCTTACAATGTTGTTAGTGATTTTGCAGATCTGAGCAGCAGCTCAGCAGCAAATTCAGTGTTTCTCAGTAGCTGCCAGAGTAACTGAAGGTTTTTGTGCATAAACCATACCTTAAGTATAAAGGTGTTAGAGTGCCAGGTTAGCAAAAACACAAAAGCTAACCCCTTTGTTTTTCAGATTAAGAAAGTTATGATTTTAGAGAGATTAAGTTGTCAATAGACAGGAACAAATAGCAAATGCTAAGGCTAGGCCTGAGACCTGATCTACCTGGCTCCCAGGACAATAGACATAAGTGATTTGTTAGCCTTGTTTATTGTTTCTGATTTACCTTGGAGAATAACTTCCAGAATATCTGTTGCATTTCTTTCTTTTTATTTCTGAGGACAGAGCTCTAAAAATTCTTCTCTTTAGCAATTTGCAAACAAGAATTTACAGCTGGGAGGGCCTAGGCGCATACTTAATTTAACGCTTTCATGGTAGAATTTAGGAACCAGGGACATTCAAGGGCATAGCATTGAAGGCATTGAAAACATAGTAGGCACCCAGTATGATATTCCTGAATTTATTAATTTATTAAGTGTCCATGTGTCAGGCTCTGGGCTAGCTTCTGGCTCTTCTTTGTAGTAAGAAGTTATACTTTTGTTTGTTTATTAGGTTCTTTTTTAAAATTATTGCCAAGGCAAACTTGAGTTGATATATCCAAATGAGCCAACTTATAAATGCAAAAATTTGCAATTTTGCAAGAAAACATGGGTAACATACATTGGATTCTTTGTGAGATCATTCAGGGAGTTTCTGTCATGGGACTTCCCTTGAATACACACAGTATTTTTGGATTTATGTAAATGCATAAAAATATGGTAAAAAGTTTGAATATGAATTTAGCATCATGACATATTACATGAAAAACTTTTAATTCAAGAACAGTGAGACTAAGTTTGTGTTGGGGTTGATGGATTTTTGAAAATCTAACGTAATCTAAAGATCCTTACCCAGAAAATGTTCAAATGCATTTATACTAAAAAGGTCATCTAACTTCAGGAAAACTATAGACCCTGGGTAAGATTTCCCAAAATAGATATCCTTTTCTTAATTTTCCCCTATCTTTTCTAAATATTTAGGATAAGAAAATGCAATATAAGAAACATTGGAAAAGATTTCTATCTGAGCTTGAAGTTTTACTACTGTAAGTATATTTTGTCTGAAATTTCCTCTGCTTTGTGCCTGAGCTTAATCTCTGTTCATCTTCAATTTTAGAACACAGTGCTTAGCCTGGTTGGCATTTAATGAATGTAGGCCATTTTTGACATCTGCTTCAATATATTTCTTAAAGTACATTTAAAAATAGACCATTTACATAATTCACTTGAACATATTTTAACAAGAAATTATCACAAGGAAGTGGGTTAAATCGTGTGTGACTAACATGGCTGAATAGTAATTCTTAGAACAAGAATTGTATAGATTTCTCCCTTAGCCCCCTTCTGTTAGAAACAATCCAGTCAAGAAACTTTCATCAGTGAAATTCTCTTCAGGAAGAGAGTTCTAGAGAAGAAGTCAGGTGCTTTTGATGTGCATGTTTTTCTCGGAATTCACTCATGAATCTGAGAGTCCTTGGAGACATACTTAAAGGTCTTTGTTTTCACATATCTTCCAATCTGTAGCTGTGCAACCTTCCTCATTGAAAGCCCCTAACCCTGTGGAGTTCACTCACCCCTTTACAAATAGGAAATGAGCTTTTCAGATGTTTTCTGAACAGATAGGTAAAGTGGGGGCAGATAGAAAGGGGGGTGGGGGGACTGAAGGCATTATACTGAATTCTGTCCTCTTTATACCCAGGACCAGAAACCAAAATGTTAGAGGCTAATCTTAATAAGTATCATTTACTCAGTAAAAAATGATTCTAAAATTGTAATAGGTTTTTACATTGAAGTTTTATTTATTTGCTTATGAAAGTAAGATTCAGACATTTTTAAATTCCAAAAGTGTAAAAGGGCAGCCCAAGGAAAGATATTCTCCCACAATCAAGCTGATTTTTCCAAGGCAACAGTGTGGTCAGGTTCTTGTATGTATTCTCAGAGCTATCTTATGCAGAGGCAACCATACATTTTTGTTTTCTTATTTTCCTCCTCTTATACAAAAGGTAGCATAAGCATATTGATCACTTTGCTCATTTTTTGTATTCTTCAATATACTGTGCTTTTCTCCTGGTAAGGGAGTTTTAGCTTTTTCCTAATATTTTATTATTCAAAAATAATGCTGCCACAAGAAAACCTGTGCTCTTGTTGTCATCTCAAGAAAATCATTGTCAAGGAAACTTTTTTCCTAGGAACCTTATGTTTTTTTCCCCATAAGAACCTTATGATTTTAGATCTAACATTTAAGTCTTTAATATATTTTGAGTTAATTGTTGTATATGATATAAGACTAAGTCAGATTTCATTCTTCTGCATATCAGTTTTTTCAGCACCATTTATTGAAGAAATTTTTATTTCTGCCTTGTGTATTTTTGTGCCCTTATAGAAGATTAGTTAACCATATCCGTATCAGTTTATTTCTGGACTCTTTTGTAGTCCATTGTTCTATGGGTTTTTATGCCAGTGCATACTGTTTTGATTACTACAACTTTGTACTACTGTTAAAATCAGGTAGCAAATGCCCCAGCTTTGTTGTTCTTCCCCAAAATTGTTTTGACTGCTTGGGGTCTTTCACGGTTTTATATGATTTTTTCTATTACTGTGAAGACTGTCATTGGAATTTTGATATGGGTGATATTGATTCTGTTCATACTACAATATTAACAATATTAACTCTTGCAATTCATGTAAATGGGATATCTTTCCTTTCACTTACATCTTTAATTTCCTTCAGTTAATGTCTGATAGTTTTCAGCATATAAATCTTTCTCCTCCTTGGTTAAATTTATTACTAAGCATCGTGTTCTTTTTTGATGCTTTGACTTTCAGCACTGTGCTAAATATAAGCCATGAGATTGGGCATTCAGATCTTGCTCCTGATATTAGAGGAAGATCTTCCAGCTTTTCACCACTGAGTATGATATTATCTTTGGGTTTGTTATGTATATCCTTTCTAATGTTGGGACGTATTTTTTCTATAACTAACTTGTTGAGGGTTTTTATAATGAAGGCATGTTGAATTTTGTCAACTTTTTTCTACATTGGTTGAGAAGGTCCCACGATGTTTATCCTTCAGTTCTGTTAATGTAGTGTGTCATTTGTTGATTTATGCATGTTGAATCATCCTTGCATCCTAGGGGTAAATCCCATTTTATTGTGATCTTTTTAATGTTCTGTTGAATTTGGGTTGCCGGTATTTTGCTGAGGACTTTTGCACTTAGAGTAACCAGGGATCCTAGCCTGTAATTTTCCTTTTCTGGCAGTGTCCTTATCTGGCTTTGGTAGGAGGGTGACGCTGGTCTAGTTTGGAAGGGCTCTCTCCTCTTCAATTTTTGGGAAGAATTTGAAAAGTACTGGTATCAATTCTTCTTTAAGTGCTTGGTAGAATTCATATGCAAAACCATCTGGTTCTGTGCTTTTTCTCTTTCGGGAATGTTTTTGATTGCTAAATTAATCTTCATAATTATTGGTCCATTCAAATTTTTCTGTTTCTTCATGATACCATGTTAGTACTTTATATGTTTCTATGACTGGATCCATTTCTTAAGTTAGCCTATTGGTTGTATGCTTGCATTTCTGTGGTATCATTTGTAATGTCTTTTACTTATAATCTCTCAAAGAAAAAATGAGAGAGAGGAAGAGAGAGATCTCACTTTCTTTTTCTGAGTGAGATTAACAATCTTTTCATATGTTTTAAGATATGTATCTCGTTTTCTGTGAAATATCTGATGGTACTCTACCCATGTTTTATTAGGCTGTTTTTTAAAGTGTATATTGATAGTTCAAGGGGGTTTGTCTTAATGTTTTGAAGGGATTTTACATATATCAGAAAAATTAGCCTGTTTTTATGTTATGAGATACAACTAATTTTTTACCAGACTTTCATTTGGTCTTTGCTTATTCTAGTCTTTGTCATGTAGAAATGATTTTACCATAGTTGGATTTTTTTAAAGAGTTTGGGTTTTGTTCCCTACTAACAGGTTCTAAAATAATTCTCCCACTTTTTTCTAGAACTTTTGTGGTTTTACCTTTTACATTTGTGTATGTAATGTATTGGTTTTATCTGATGAGATATTTTCCATATTAACTACAACAACAACTGTGTTTCTTTTTAAAAAATCATGTTAATGTTTTCGCTTGAATGAACTTTATAATTCATTCTAGGGAGGTTTAACTTTATGGTGTTGAGTAAGTACATATTATTACTTATTTGGCTAATATTTATTTAGTGTTAGATGCTATTCCAAGAGCTTTATATTTATTAATTCATCAGTCCTCACAACAGTTCTATGAGATGATTTCTATTATGATCCCTGTTTTATAGATGAGGAAAGTGAGGTAGTTTTTCCTTTTCCACAAGGTGTAACTTATCTCCTGGTTTCTCTTCAATCTCCTTCTTCTCAGACATTGAGGTGTGATTTAGGTAAATGTAGCCTTATCCTCTTAGAATATATTGTCTTAAGTGGGATTGAAAGAGAAGTCCATACTAAACAGGCAATTTCTTTTTAAAAAATTTTTTTGGTATATAATAGTTGCACAGGGGGATACATTGTGATATTTCCATATGTGCTTATAATATGTCTCTGTTAGATTTACCCCCTCCATCGTTCTCCCTATTCTTCCCCTCCTCCCCTTCTTAGAATAATTTCAACATGTTTCATTATTCTGTTTTCATATGTGCAGACAAAATACATCCATCATGTTCACCCTCATTCCCCCTTTCCCTGTGCCCACCCAGCTCCCACTGGTACCCACCCCCAGAAAAGACTTATGTTCCCTTCCTATCCTTCATTCTTTTTTAAAGTGTACATTGATAGTTCAAGGGGGTTTCACCTTGTACTTCAGACCTGTATATATCATGCTTTAATCAAATCAGCCACCCCTCCCATTACTTACTCATTCTTTATCACCATGCTCCCCTAATATTCAACAGCTTTAGGTACAGCACATTATATTATATTTATATTTAGATGGATTGTTTTAATATTTTTCATTCTCTAACATATTCTTTACCTCTCCTGCCTCCTGTAGTCTCCTCAGACAGACTCACTAATTCAATTTTGTTCTCTCTCTCTCACTATATATATGTATGTGTATATAATGTGTGTATATATATATATATGATCACATATGTATCTATATATACATTTAACTAATAAGTCTAGCTTTCACATATGAGGGAAATGTGACTTTGACTTTTTGAGCCTAGCTTACTTCACTTAACATGAAGTTCTCCAATTCCATCCATTTGCCTGCAAACAACATGATTTCGTTCTTCTTTAGGGCTGAATAAAACTGCACTGTGTATATATACCACATTTTCTTAAACAGGCAATTTCAGTAAACTAAGGAGTATAGAGCTGGGAGGAGGGGGAGGTGGTAACTTCGGGAAAGGACAGCACAATGAGCTTCTTGGCAGAAGCAACATCTAAGCTGAGGCTGAGAAGAGTTTTTAAAGTTCAGTATTAAGGGAAGTCCCTTAAACAGATTAAAAAACCCCTGGAATATGACCTCTGATTTTTTGGTTCTTTCTTCCTCAAGAAAAGGGAAAAATGTTAATAATATTTGAGGACCTGGTACTTGGCTAAGAGTTTAAATTTTATTTAACTTTCATAAGAACCTCGGGAAGTAGATGTCTTATTTACTGCTTGCAGTTAAAGAAATAGTCTCAGACAGATGAAATAACTAGCTCAAATTTACACAATTGATAAAAAACGAGAGATTCAAACCCAGGTTTGTCTGTCGTTCAAGTCTGTCTCCTCTACCACACTTCTACCACAAAATGATGTGACTTGTGTCATTTTGCCAACAGTAGGCACTCAGAAATGCTTATGAAATTAATTTCAAAAGATAGCAGATTTGCTGATCTTAAGACCTATATAATGAAAAATCCTACTGATTAAAAAATTTGTAGTGAAAGTTTGGGTGACATTGAGGTGACAGGCTCAAAACCAGCAAATTTTCTTCCCAGTGTCTTGATCCCACAACTTAACTTTAGAGTATCCATTATTCTGCTTGATCAGTAATGTCTAAAAATAAGCACATGGTCATTTCTGTCCTGTGAGCAAGAGAGCAGAATAAGGCCATGATGGTGTTTTTGATGTCTGCAATCTAATGCCTTCCAAAAGATTTTTCTCTCTTTGAATTATTTTAAATTGCAGGAGAATCAGCCAGCCAGCTTAAGCAGCTAAATATACCCCTTCAGTTTCTTGCCAGCCCATTGCTTTTCATTTTATAGACATAGTCTAAATCATAGTAGGTGTATGGATCTTGTATCACAAAAGTTTTTGACAATTTAAAAATAAAAGTATCTTCATGTAATCATATATGTGCACATGTATATATTATGTGTACACATGGATACATAGACCTCTTACATTCCCTGAGGTTAAGAAGTATAAAAATAATCATAAGGCACACACACAAGATTATGTATATAACATATATAATTATATATATATATATTTGTATACACATTTGTATATATGAAGTGTGTGTGTTTATAGGAAAGTTGCTACAAAAGAAACAAATAACAAGTTATTTCTAAATAGAAAGAACACCTTCATTTATTTTCATATTTATAACATATCCAAGACATAGTAAGCATTCAATAAATAATTATGGAATTGAACCAAATTCACTGTACGTGTGAATTTCACATTTTATATTTCATGGTGGATACCTAGGTTTCATTGGTCTTCATAGCAATGATATATACATTCAAGGAATAGGGTTTTGTTTGTAGGCCAATAGATAATTACTAAAGAAGGAGTCTGAGCAATATATACTGCACTGACATAGAAATCTGTGATATATTTTTCAACATCAGACTACCAGTTATATGGATTTTAGATAATAGTATAAGCTTTGGGAAGACATTACTGTCTCTTTTTTCAGCTTGTTACTGGGGCCTGACCCAGTACCTGATATAGTAGTGTTCAATAAATGGATAAATGAAAACAGTCTTCTATACTCCTATATTTTGGTGACTTTCTTTACATTGAACATTTAAATAAATCAAATGAACAGTTTCACTTACATTATCTTTATCTATTTACTTACTAAGTCATATAGTATTTCATTTTGATAAAAATGAGTTATTGAGTAGTGTTGTCTCTTTTTTTAAATAAAGTTCTCAATATCCCAAATCTTAAGTAATCTTTACTTTCTTAAAATTTCTGCCTCACATTTGAATATTTTATTTTTATTTTCATGATCATAGTCAATGAAAGTAGCTAGTATTTGCTTGAACTCCTTAGATCAATTTGGAAAGCAAATCTCGTCATGTGTCCAATGAAATTCTTTCTCCCGTGACTAGATATATCTACTTTCAACTTATTTTCTATACCTCCAAACCAGAGTATTATTCATTTCCTATTTGAGTAAACAGTTTAATGATTTAAAAAACCTTCTGTTTCAAGGTTTCATCATCCACACATACTGGAGTTGGCTGCATATTTTACAGAGATGGAGAAGTTCTGTCTGGTTTATCCATATATGAGAAACGGAACACTTTTCGACAGATTGCACTGTAAAGTAAGTTGTATCCATCATTTACCTGATCCTCTCATTCCCTCCAAAGCCCTAGGTGAGGGGAGATCTGCTGAAACCTGAGTCACCTGAGTCACCTGGGAGGCAGTGTGTATGCACATGAGGGCATAGCCTGCAAGCAATTCCCAAGGAAGCAGAGGCTTCTCCATGAATTTCTTTCCTCCCTCCCTCCCTCCCTTCCTTTTTGTACTATAGGGATGAACCCAGGGCTTTTACACATTGCTAAGCAAGCTCTACCACTTTAGCCATGCCTCCAGCCCTTTTGTTTTGAATTTGTTTATTTGTTTTTGAGATAGTGTCTCTCTAACCTTACCTGAGCTACCTTGAACTCATAATCCTCCTGCCTCTGCCTCTGGAATAGTTGGGATTACAGGGATATACCACCACACCTGTCTCATGAATTAATTTCTTACTTTTAGAAGGCCATGTAAATACCTGAGTTTCTGGGTTCAGAACAATATGTTTGCCAAATATTTGTTGAATCCTTACGCCTTGCTGATTCTAAACCTTGAGTGAATTATAACTATCCTTATTTCTCAAATAATTTTAATTTGCAAAGCTTTATACAAAGGTCAGACATAGAAGGGATATTGACTCCTTAAAGAGAAGGATATTGAATTAATGCCATGATTTTTCTAAAATATTTTAGAAAGGTATGTTTGAAAGTTGATTCTGAATAAATTAAGTTTCAGTTAGGATGAGAACAAAAGCCATTTATTCTCAATTGCTCACACTTTTGTGCCACAAATAATTTTAAAATCTTATTTAAGAAACTTTTAAATAGTATCACTTTACCATGTGTATTTTCTGGGGGAGGAGTGGTCTGGGGATCAAACCCAGGGCCTTGCACATCATATACAACTGTTCTACCACTAAGCTATACCTTCAGTCCTCTAGCCATAGTTTGATCAAGCTACTATTAAAAATTATTAGCTATTACCATTGCCTATAAAGAGGCGTAGAACCATCGTCATCATCACCAGTAATAGAGGGAAACCCACTTGAAACCCAACTCCCTCCGCTCACCCTGCCATTCTGGGACACGTCTGTGTAATGAATATGGTTTTCATTCAGAAAGTGAAGCCAAACCAACTGCTGTTGTCTTCTTAGGGTAACACGGCCCCACTCTCCTGGCACACTCGAATCAGCATATTAATAGGAGTATCCAAAGCCATTCGATACCTGCACAACACTCAACCTTGCTCTGTCATCTGTGGCAGCATTTCCAGGTAAGGAATCCTAGAACTTTAGGTTATACCTGAAAGTCTCTTCCATCACCACAGGTGAGTCATACTTCACACTCTTTTTCTGCCTATACTTTTCCTGGTATAGATTTGAGTGTATTAAGAACTTTCATCTAAGTATTGAAAATCTTACATTTTTAATGAAAATGTGTTTACCAGATTTAAAAAGCTGCATTTTCATATTGCCAAAGGGAGAGTTTATATTATCTTTGGGAATTATTAATGAACAGTTCTATGTATTTTTAATGATTATTCCTGATAGAAAGATGTAAAATGAACTGGTAATGATACTCACCCATCCCCACCCTTTTTAAAGCTGAGGCTTAAGCAGTTTATCTGGGGATTCCTAGCAAAACAACAGTAGTAAATGATTAAGGTTCTTGGTCCTTGAATCTCTGGAGGTTTTATCGTCCCACTGAGCCTGCTGCCTAATAACTATATATTTAGCTGTGACAAACCAAGCTGCCACCCTTGTTCATTTTTGCAGCATGAGAAAATTAGGAGTAATGTCTTCAGTCGCCATAAAGAGTCATTCAGAGTAGATGCCCCATAGCAAAATCCCCCGATGAGTTTCTCCTTTGTGCCCTTTATGTTGAATTTGTCCAAAAGTACCTAACCACGCCTTGCTCATCATCAGGGGAGACTGAACTTAGAGGTTCCTTCCACCTAGTGTTTTGAAAAAAGCCTTTAGTGTGTTTCAACTTGAGCAGAGGAGGAGCTGATTGCTTGTTTCTTTTTCTGGGGAAATGAACACCATATGAAAGGTCTCTAAATTTTTACTTAGTCCTGGGGAAGGAGGGGGAAATACACATAGATATCTGCTTTTGTTGTAGTGTAGCTTCCTAAATCTGTATGAAATTGAAGCACCCTTCTGGAACCTGGACATGGAGGGACAGTGATGGTCTCAGGTCGGTTCCAAAGGGTGCAGGTGGCCACTCCCAGCTGAAAATAATCCCTCTTCTGCCCAGATTTCAACCAACTCTGAGCATAGTAGGTGCTCAAAAATGTGTTATACTGATTGAACAATGTATCTGGTATTTTGCTGTACATATGCTGCCTTTCATTTAAACTTAAAGCAAGAGTTTGGTTATTTTAAATCCCATACATTAATATATTAATTTTATTAAATTTCTTTGGTGTGGCTGTGTTTTTTAATTCCTGTCCTAAAAGCATAGTTTGAAGACAAGAGGAGAAAGGAGAAGTGTAGAGATTCTGGTTCTTGATGGGAGAGAGGAACAAGGAGAGTCACAAACTGGAGCAAAGAGGGCATCAAGTTGGGGAGATAGATATAGGCTCTGCCCACTTCCCAGTGCTCCTCATTCTCACAGCTTACACTGGGGGAGGTGACTGGGTTGTGTCCAGCCAGCATCTCTCTCTTGGTATTGTTGAGAGTATACATTATGGGCCCGGTTTCCTGCTCTCTCAGGAACAATAGAAGTAGGCCAAGAGCATTGGCTCAAGCCTGTAATCTTACCTAGTCGGGAGGTGGAGAACAGGAGGATTGAAGTTTGAGGCTAGTCCAGGCAAAAAGTTCACAAGACCCTATTTCAACCAATGGCTGAGCATAGTGACGTGCCTGTCATCCTAGCTAAGCCAGGAAGCACAAATAGGAGAATTGTGTCCAGGCCGACCTGTGCATAAAGCAAGACCCTATCTGAAAAATAAACCAAAGCAAAAGGGCTGGGGGTGGCTCAAGTGGTAGAGTACCTGCCTAGGAAGTACATGGTCCTGAATTCAATTCCCAGCATGAAAGAGAGGAGAGAGAGGGAGAGAGAGAGAGAGAGAGAGAGAGAGAAGAAGAAAAAGAACATTAGAAGTAAGGAAGGGAAGAAAGAAAGCAGAATTGTGCAGGTGAAGAGGTTGAGTCAGGATGTTGTTGCATTGAGGCCTTAGCCAGTATCATGGGGAAGTGTTGAAGCTGGGACAGCCCTTCCAAGATATCCCAAAGTTAGGTGGGGGTGCTTGGGTCTTTGCACTGTGTCTGGCAGCCCTGGAGTGGGGCTGTAACTTGGGTGAGGCATATCACTTCTGCATTAATGATTCCCAGATTGGAGCTCAGTTGTGAGCCATCACCAGCCAACCCTCCCTGCTGCAGAACAGGAGCCCCTCTGGGACCTGATGATGAACTGGGTAGTGGGGGAGCATGGGGCACAACATAGCCACTATAGTTATGGAAGCAGATTTGATTGGGAAGAGCTCTGAAAAATGAGACCCAAGGACTTTTCTTTTACATATATTATCCCCCTATCCTTTTAGTTCAGCATCCCCTAATGTTTAAATTGGAGAGAAGCAGAACTTCTACTTAAAATGTAATTCTGAGAAAATTGCATTACCTCTCTAAACCTCAGTTTGGCCACTGCAAAATGCTAGTAATAGACCAATAGCTTCTATTCTTAGTGCTAAATGACATAAGGTATATTGTGCTTAGCAAATAGTATGCAAATGGTAACTCCTGTCTTACTTGGTCCAGAACTGGTGGCAGTGACCGTGGCTAAAGTGATGTGGTAACTGACCAGTTTTTTTTGTCACTTTTTTACTTATCTTCATTGTCAGTTTATTTTGTTAAAGTGGACCCATAGACAGGGCATGGTGGTGATTTCTATAATCCCAGCTACTCAAAAGGTGGAGATTAGAAGGATTGCAGTTCAAGGCCAGCCAAGCAAAACATTAGTGAGCTAATTAGTGAGCTAGAAGCGATAGTACATATCTGTTATTCCTAGCTACCAGAGGAGGCAGAAGGTAGGAGGATTGCAATCTAAGACAACTCTGAGCAAAAAATGTGAGAACCTATCTGAAAAATAACTAAGCAAAAAGGGGCTGGGACATGACGTAAGTGGTAGAACACCTGCCTAGAAAGTGTGACACCCTGAGTTCAAGCTTTAGTACTACCAAAAAAAGAAAGACAGAAGGAAGAAAGGAAAGTAGACTCATGAACAAAGCTCTATTTTATTTTTCATTTTTAAAATTTTTTACTACCATTGCTTGTGCTGGGGTGTGGGTACATTGGAGTATTTTACAAAGATTTTTACAATGTATCAGATATACCACACTTGAATTCACACCTTCTGCCTGCTCTTTTCATCCCTCCTCCCCGATACCTGGAGCAGTTTTCGGCAGGTATCATTTTTGCATTTACATGCATGTGGTACACATTATTTACACCATACTCATCCTCCTACGCTTTTCCCCACCACCTCCCCATTCCCCCTCGGTGCCCCCCCTTTCCAGGCAACCTGTTCTGCCTCCCGTTCTCCGATTTTGTAGAGAAGAAAAAAACATAAAAGATAATAAGAAAAGGCATGGTGTTTTTGCTAGTTTGAGATA